ACGATCATTTTATTATGATTTGTTGAAAATTGAAACTTTGTATGGTTGTTTTTTTTTTCTAATAGGACGATAGTTTAGAAAGATTAGTAAAAGAAAGTGAACTTCTTCAACAAGCTTATGGACATTATTTTGATTTAGTTATTGTTAATAATGACATTGAAGAAACAATACGAACAGTAAATAAATATTTGAGTTTTTGATAATTAATTTTTATTGATTCTTTTTTTTTTGTCTTTTACTAGTTACAACATGCTATTGAACGAGTTAGTCTACAACCTCAATGGGTGCCTGTTAGTTGGGTGTATTAATTTAGAATGAAATACACATGATAATCCGCATCTAATCTCTTTTTTTTGTTTCTCTGTTTTTCTGTTTTTTGTGTCAAATGCAATATATGTGAATCGCAAAAAGCCTAGTCGACAGTATTCTTATAATTATTTTTTCGTTGGTATTTTTCTTTTCTCTAATGATCTGATATCGTTCTTCCGAGACGAATTGTTTTACTTATGCCTTTTTTTCTTTATGTTTGTAAATAGACACTTATCTGTGTTTTCTTTTTTGTTGCCGTTGTCAGTATTCTCGTATATATATATATAGATTGTCGAAATATTGATCATGGGTCATATCATTTTATTTCTATTATGTTTATTTCACATATGCTTGTGTTTTCCGTCTTTTAATAACATGAATATTGGAGATGAATAATCATTAATATAGATGCGAAGAATATAAAAATATATAAAATATAATTCTGTTCGTAACTGCAGTATTCTTATTTTATATTTTGTGTTGTTTTTATAAATTTTCCCACTTGTTATTCGTACACCAACTTTATACAATAATGCATTTCGTTGGTAAGATGCGCTTTTATGTTCATATATCTTACACAGTAAATGTGTGTATTTTTAACCTTGTATAATTGTCAGTTTTTTTTCCTATTTGTATATAGTACTAATCAAAAATAAAAGGTATACTAATAACGGTAAAAAAAAACATTATTCAATATTGTGTTTCGACTATATCAAAATTTCAGATGCCGTCCATACCTCCTATATTAATTATTGGTGTTAACCCTATCGTTAAAGTAGTTGTACCACTTTTACGTGCTTTTGGTTTTCAAATAGTTCATCTCTGGTCACCAGGTCGATTAACATCTGATGTAATTTCATTATGTAAAGATACATTAAACATTGATTCATATTCTTGTTCATTAGCATCACTTGATCAACTATTAAATAATGCAACACAATCATATCTTATCTTTATTTGTACAGAAACTGATCAACATTTACCACTTATGAAAAGTATAACAAGTACTTCAATTATAAAACCATGTAATCATCATGTTGTTTGTATGCCACCATTTAATGTCGATCCAAAATCACTTATATCAATACAACAAATTCAACAACAATTATGTTGTTATTGTTATCCAATTGGATTTTTACCAACATTTATTAAACTTAAACATTATCTTTATGATGAACAAATAAATATAGGTAGAAATATATTTTATTTAAAGAAAAAAAAAATCTTTTTTTAATTATTTCTTTTGCCTTTTTTAGGTGATATTCAATCAATTGAATTTCGTATTCGTTGTTGTTCATTAAAATCATGTTCGGATGATCGAATAAATAGTAGTCTTCTTAATCGATTTGGTTCATTTGCACTTTTTATACTTTTTTATTTATTTGGTACACAATATTTATCAACAATAAGTCATGCTTATATTCAATCACCAAATGAAACAACATGTTCATTTCATATAAATTATAATCGTTCAACACGTTTACCACCTATATGTGTTAATATAATATCAAATTCACATATATCATCAACATATAATCAAGAATTAATAATAATAGCATCAAAATGTGCACTTATTGTTAATGATTATCGTTTAATATTACGCCGTTTTAAGTTTGATGATCAAACATTAATTGATTCATTTCATTCGGATACAAATGAAAAATTTTCACAATTTTCATATGAAAATCCTGAAATACCATTAATTTTTATTCAATCATTTTATTATTTCATTGGACATCTAAAAGAATCATTAATAAATCAAATACCTCGATCAACATTTACAGAACTTACATCTTTTGAAATTGTTTATAAAGTGCAAGAAGCAATTGTTGCTATTCGTGAAGCAGCACGAACCGGTGAAATTGTGCCGATTGTCAGATGAAAATTTTTTTTTAATTATTTTTCCGTATGAACAAAAAACCCAGGAACAACGAATTAAGAACAAAAGTGCTTTTTTCTTTAAAATTACATCTAAAAAGAATGAACAGTTTGATTTCTTTGAAGTGATTTCTTTTCTTTTTTTTTTTGTACTTATTAACGATAATTTTAGACGAGAAATAAAATATGCAATGCCAAGTTTGTTATGAAAACAAAAATATTCCTTATAAATGTCCGAAATGTAGAATTAAATAGTAAGTATAATGAAAGTGATATTTTATTAATAATTATTATTTTTCAGTTGTTCAGTTGCATGTTATCAAAAACATAAATCATCGGGTAATCAAAATTGATCGAATAAATATTTAATATTTAATTAATTTAAATAGAAACATGTTTTGAAAAAACTCTTGAATCAAAATCAACAGTAGAAGGTGAGCAAAATGGGTATGATGATTGGAGATGATTTCAAAACAAACAAAGATCATTCAATCTAATCAATTAATATTAGTTATTATCAGAATGCAACGAGATTGATTTTGAGTCTTACAAAGGAATTTTTCTAAGTGTTTAATCCTTTTTTTTGATGTCAGAGTTGTGTTTAACAATGAGCTATGAATATGTTTACCATACATTTTTTTAGTCGAATGCTGTGGTCTCTCTTAAAAATGCCAGACGAATGGACTTTTAAATTTTGACTTGATATTGCACAAATAACGACTTGAATCATAATAGTTTATTGTGGCACTTTTCAAATCTTTTGATTGCTCCTATTCTGTAATATTTGCATATATATATATATATATATATATGAAAAATATACTGCTTCCTATAGTTGTTGCTTAGGGATAGCAAAAATATTAAAAGATTTGTAATTTTCATTACTAACTATTTCAATTGAGTGTTGTCTCTGTAAAATTTCAAGTCAAACTTTTAAACTCAATTCTGCAGTATGTTTGAAAGGAGGATAAGTCATTCTGCAAAAAAAAATGTATATAAAATAAAATCCTGTATGCATGCAATATAGCAATAATAAACGTAAGGCTTCGAATTCTCTACGGAGTACTCATAGTTGATTAGAGCCGACATGATCGACATCGTTCTGGCTCAAAAGTGATTGAGCACTTAGGGAAAATTTCGTCATTAGTAGTTGCATCTTTTATTTGTTATATTTAGCTTCAATAGCACAAACTCAATTACCGATTGAACTCGGTGATGATGAAGAAAGTGATCGTCTACCAACAAATGTACTCGAACGAATCAGTTAGGTTTTATTTATGAATACTTTACGAATATGTTTCGAATGTATGTCAAATTTATAGATCAATCAAATGAAGTACTTGAATTATTAAAGAATCGTCATTTACGAACAATGATTAAAGCATTAGATCGTTCGATAAATTCAGCTGATGACATGCAAAAAGCCATGATGGAACCTATTTTTGCTCAATTTGTTGATCAATTGTTAATGATTGTTGAAAATAAAAATACATGATAGGATTGAAATGAAATAAAATAAAATCTTGTCTTGTCCTTAACACAATTTTATCATGAAATATGCTACAGAAACTAATTGATATCTTTATTGACATTAATATAGATTTTTTCTGACTTTCATTAAAATAAACTATTTTTATATATACATTTTAATATGTCATGGACTCAATCCATTTCAATTCAGGATTAAAGAAGTCTTTGTTTAAATGATTAACACAACGTTCATCTATTATTTTTTTTGTTCGATGGGTTTGAAACTATGATGATATTTAAATAGATTGGTTTTAAGTTGATATTCAGTATGATGTTTATTTTATAAATTGTAACGAGTGATGATAATATAAGAGATTCGTGTCTGTAGTTTGTTTTTAGTAATAGCTAATGCGATTATAATAGAACACTGCAGTCTATTTCAGATCTGTAAGAAAGAATAGCTATCCGGTTTCACTTGTTAACTTTGCAGAGAAAAAGGTCGAAGAGTGCAATCTTGCGAAAAACTTTCAAGTTCAAATGGGAAAGTCTATTTCTTCTTTTACGCAAGTGAACTCATAGCGTAGGATTAAAAGATTTGGTGCGTACGTCAAAATCTTGTCAGAAACATATGAGCACGATCGATTTCTTTTTTGGTAGAATATTGATAAATCATTGAAGCTAATAATAACTTCTGTATTTCCAACTTCAAAGCAATGTGATTATGAATTTTTTATTGCGTTGTTATTATTCTTTCATGTTTTCATGATAGAATAAATATCTAATTCGGTTTGTATATTTTTTCTTTTCGTAAAAAAAAAAAAAGTTAAGAGAAGTGCAATGAAATGTCGGTCAATTTGTAATTTTTCTAACATCAGATATAGTAAACAGCGGTGACAGAGTATATTCTTTTTATTTAACACATTTATTTTAAGCATACTGTTTTTAGTTCGTTGTTGGGAATGTCCTTGAATTGTAAGCATCACTTTTCTCTGAAAAGAACCATTAAAAAAAATTAAAATCAAATGGTTGTTTATTCAACGATATAACAATAGATTTGAGTATTTTTTTTTTGTAATTTTATTTTATCTTTCGCCTACTCAATCCTAGCAGGTAGTTTTAGTTCTATTTTTATCGAAGAATATTCTACACAGAAAAAAAATGATGTTAGAAAGTCTTTTTTTTTTCTCTCTTGTTCTTGCTTTCTACTATAGCATCACACGATGAAAAGGTAATTGGAGACGACAACACTGAGTACCATATTCGTTTGATAATAGAAAAAAGAAAATGAACATTATAATGATTCTATAGATCACTTTGCATTTCCTCTCAACATTTTATACACAATGTCATTGTCCATTGAAAATTCTTCTAATATAGAAACATCGATTGCTATAGAATTATGCAAATATCATCCATATTATTTAGTTGGCGAGACTATTTGGCGAATAGGCGCACTCTTATGTGTTCTATTAGGTATGCCTGGTCATATAATTGTTGTTATTATTATGCTCAATGCGAGAAATCGAAGACAACCTGTTTGCTTATATTTTGCAACAATTGCTATTTTTGAATTTATTTATCTCATAAGTACGTATAAAAAAATTTATTTATATCAAACTATTTTTAGCTATTATTAATGTAAAAGTTTTAATAAGATATCGTATGTTTTTTTTATGTCAATTAACTATCACGTAAGAATGTTTGTTGTTTTTTGATCGAAAGAAAAAGTCTATTTTGAGATAAAAGGCTAGTAAACTACATGAATCAATAGCTAGACTTCTCTTTAGTATGAACCAATAAAAAAAAAAGGATGAGTGGAAATCAATAAAATATGTAATACTAAATAGAACAATATGATATCTTTTTTAATTGAATCTAGACAAGTGTTATTAGGAGAAAAATCATCTCATATTTGTGACAATTTATAAACATTTGAAAATTAGCGATGTTCTTATATTTTCTATGAAGCAAACAAGAACTTGATTTTGCCTAGATCTTGATCTCAGGATCGGTTATAAATTGAAAATAAGTAGTGATGGATAATGAAATATCTTATTTAGTTTTATAAGAATACTTCTATATCATATTGTCATTATTGAATTCTAGTTGTCTTCTGGTTATGGTGTGCTTCATTATCATTAGTGCGTGATCCACGTGCTGTTTTAACATGTGGACTCTATTATAGTTTAACAATTGGTTCATCAAATGTTTCAACACTTTTGCTTGCAGCTGCATCTATTGATCGTCTTGTTATTGTTGTTTATCCTAGTCGTTATTCAACATTTGTAACACGAACAAAAGCATTAATTAAAATAATATTCATTATAATATTTGTTTTTATTCTTATAATTCAATATCATTTTTCATATTATTTTTCTTATTCATATAGTGTTTGTGAATATTATTCATATGCACAATTATGGCAAGGAAAAATTTGGGCACTTATACGTCTTGCTCTATTAGCATTTATTCCATGTCTAATAATATGTATTTGTTCGTTGGTTATATTAAAGAATCGTTATTATCGTCGTCCATCAACAACAAGTGAAACAACAGGTACAAGACATATGCGTACAGCTTCACTTTTACTTGTAATTTATTCAATATATTATACAATAAGTGTAATGCCATTAAATATTCTTCAATTTTTTCATTCACATTTTTTTAATGATAATACAATAAGAAATACATCAGAAATCAATTGTTTAAAATTTTCTCAATGGAAATTGTTAATGAAATTTTGTATGCTTTTAATGGCAATTAATTATTCGAATAAATTTATTGTTCATTATCTTGTATCAATGCAATTTCGTCGATATGTTTGGAATTTATTTAAAAAAATGACTTTGACTCCCGAAAGAAACAATAAACGTACAAGAAGTATTGAAGGTAGTTCTTGTCTCTGAGTCATTGTAATCTATACAGTGTACTTATCGTAAATAAATTAGAGAAAAAAAAATATTCTTATTTTTTTATATCTTATTTATTGCTAATCAACGTTGATATATCAACCGAGATGTATTAGTTAACGCGTACAGTCAAGTTATAAAATTTTCCTTATGTGCATCTTACAGAACACCAAAAAAAATAGAGATTTTATCAATGGGAACAAATCTCATAATATTTGATGAAGTTGACAAAATTAATGACGCATATGCAACTGTGATATATAACAGGAATCTATATTAATTACGAGAGAATCGTCGAAATTGATACCCATTGTTTCAGCTTATTTTAGATTCACAAGCACGTCTCAATAAGACTAGCAAAAGCCTCAACGCGTGTGTCTTCATGAATCTTCACCGCAGAGTTATGATCGATGTATCGGATTTTCGATTCATTTTTATATCCTGAAAGTTTCAGCTGAAGAGAACGTTTGTTCATTGAGCTATTAAATTTTTAAGTGAATTTTATTTTGCTGACATGTTTATGACAAAGTACTACTTTTGGAAATTTGTTTTCCGTTGTAACATTCAGGACACTGTAAAAATTATCAGACCTATCTATAGACAAAATTGTAGATCAAAAATTCAGTAAATTGGTCACACCTCAGTATGAAAAGACTATGAGGGTGAATCACCTTAAACGTTTGCTAGTTTGATCGAGACCTCCTTCTAAGTCCTCGATGAGTTCAACCAATGTATTTCAGTTGGAATAGTTTCCTTATTGGAAATGTTTTAACTAATGTCCGCGCCAGAATTAAAGAGGGGTTAGTGTAAATTGAATAACTCAACAAGGGCAACAGCTAGGGACCTACGGTTTTCACCATTCGAAAGAGGAAACCGGGGGACGTATTTTTTCACGATATTGTTTCGGACAAAATTGCTTTGGACACTGTCATTTCTGAAAGTCTTTTCTGAGAAGACGTACAAATGGTATGCCAATACAATGAATTTTTATTTTGATATTCTCATTAGATAGAGGGACTTCAGATCTATAGTTCAAGATACAATGCAAATGGTTCTCTCATTATATTCTAACGTTGAGCAAATGGAATCATGTATTTACATGCGCAAATAATAGAGAATTTTGCTGATTTTTTGCTAAGTTTTCGCACTTTTTATCATAATAGCTTGACATTTCGATGAAAATGAAATGAAAAGTAAGAAAGCGCATTGTATTTAGAACTATAGATCTGAAGTCCCTCTATCTAATGAGAATATCAAAATAAAAATTCATTGTATTGGCATACCATTTGTACGTCTTCTCAGAAAAGACTTTCAGAAATGACAGTGTCCAAAGCAATTTTGTCCGAAACAATATCGTGAAAAAATACGTCCCCCGGTTTCCTCTTTCGAGTGGTGAAAACCGCAAGTCCCTAGCTGTTGCCCTTGTTGAGTTATTCAATTTACACTAACCCCTCTTTAATTCTGGCGCGGACATTAGATAGTTAGTTTAAAAGTGTTAAGAGAGAGAACCACATAAATAGTGTTCTTTTCTGATATTACTCAATATCATTCTTCAAAAAAAGAACTTTCATTTCACGATTCATCAAGCCATGACTAGCTGTGAAAAAAATTATATGAATAACCAATATGCATATATCCATCCCTTATATACATGTTGAATTGAAAACTTTGATTTATGCATTTTCTAATAGTTTTCAAAATGAACTATATGTTTCATCACTGTTTCACTATTATAATCAAATATATCACATTACTTATGTTTTACCTTTTACAATGAATATTTATGAAATATATTGTCATCATCATTCATAAATATACATAATTTAAAGAAAAAGAAAGCAAAAGAAAAATGAACAACAAGGCCAAACAATCGAATGAATCGTTCAGGTAAAGATTGAAGTGTTTGATCGACGGTAGAGTATGTATGAATAAATGAGTCATCGCATGACTATTATATTAAGACATTTACAATGTATATATACATGTATATACATGTATATTGCACAACACATTACTACTACCGCTCAACGATCAAATCAAGCGCGGCCGATATTATTCAGTAGATTGATGCAATATTACAGGTATATGTTCATTTTGATATTTTAAGGACCAGAAGAAAGATGTATACGGTACTTTGTATTACTTTTACTATTTTTATACAAGTTAACAAAGTCTTATGTACATCAAGATTTGGTAAAACAAATGAAATTATTTCGTTTTGATCTTTTTTCTTTACGTTATATTCTTTATATATTTTAATCATTAGGAAGTGTTTTTCCGACTCCATTGTCTCTATCAAATGATGATCCAAATTTTCGACAATGTCCAAAAGAAAATGGAATATATGCACATACAACTAATTGTTCACTTTTTCACGCATGTACGCTTGGTATACATACAATTTATTCATGTATTGATGGTTTCTTCTTTAATCCAACTAGTAATATATGTCAATATATGCCCATTGTAAGAAACTCTCTTATTAGTTCAATGATATGTATATCATTCTTTTTAAAATAATAGGAAAAAGAAACAAAATGTGCTGAAATTCTTAAAACAATGAAAGATACTGATCTTTTATCAATCGCAGAACCAATTAAAAGTACGTACAGGATTCTCTGAAATTCCGAGCGATAACAAAAAAGCAAACGTGAATAGCTCTTTAGCAATTGGATGGATTTAAACACGTCTGTTTTTACAATTTTGGTCATATATTTATAGAAGTTTTATTTAATACGAAGGATGTTCCATAGTTATCAAGGTTTTTTTTATACCTTTTATATCAATATTTTTAAATAGAGAAGACATTGTAAGAGAAATCCGTGTCGAAAATGTTAAAGCGTCACAAGTGAATTAATCTGATCGTTATATGTTGAGATCAGAATATGATTATAGTTTAAAAATAACAGCTAATCGTTCATTCACTCACTATAGGTTATTGTTATCGATCTATTGTTACAGAGCACGTCAACCGTATGAGACATAATTTGAACATCCATTGATTTCATGTCAAAAATGATTGATTAAAACTTTTCAGCCTATATCCTCTAAACTTTTATCCTTCTAGTTCGAGCATGACATAATGATGCTGTTGTCTCCAATATGTATATGAAACTAGATTTTTTCCTACTTGGATTGCGTACAACAAGAATAGAACAACAACAGTTACTCATCGTAGTCAATGAAAGAGCAACTGCTATTTTTTTTTCATTATTTTTACCAATACAGCACATGATAGCGAACTGATACTTATGGAACAATCTTTATTTCAGATAAAATATCTGCATATAAAGAAATCAAAATTTAAAGTAGTTTTGTTGACGGTTGAAGTCGGCCCGAACACATCATCGAAAACCTGTATGAGAATCATATTTCAGTAATTTTACGAAATTGCTACTTTCGACAACCGTTCACATTCTAGAAAGCCTATAGTGATTATTGAAGAAAAACTCAATGAAATTAAGGACACTTGATTTTATCACAAACAACTGCGTATCGAATTATGCCGAATCATTCCTTATTAGAACCAGCAATGAAACCAATTCGAAATACATATTTTTACATGCGTTATTAACTTCATTGACTTTTCCTTTAGTAATTACTGTATAATCATCAATTCTCGACATTACTAATTTCATCAAATCGCTGAAGTGCATTGCTAATATATTGTGGAGTTGGAGTGTATTTTCGAAATTCAATTTTCGCAGATATTTGATCTAAAATGATTCACATTTTTTTCCTTCATTCGAACCTTTCAAACACTCTGTACATCAACAATTTTTACTTCATTATTAGATTATGATTATTATTATCATCGTCGCAAATCTGCAACATCAAAATGTATTCAAACTGGAATATACCCAGATATACTTGATTGTTCATTATTTCATTATTGTCACAAGAATCAAAAACACGAAATATTCAAATGTCCAAATGGCTCACATTTTGATCCAAAAATATTTATATGTTCGGCACCTCAACTAGTTTGTTTGTTGAATAGACATATAGAAATGAAAACTTTTATTTCATCTATTCAGGTCAATTGTCAATATGAACCACCAACAGAATCAACAATAATTGACGATACTTCAACCATTGAATTAGGTTGTCATCATATTGATTTGTTTTTTTTTAATCTGTTAGTTCATGGTTTTTTTTGTAGACCTGATTTGCCGTGATTATGCTCCTCGTACTCGTTTACCCGTGTCAAATAAATTCGATGAGTTTATCATATGTGGATATAGTGGTGAAAGAAGTATTCGAATGAAGTGTACATCAGGTTTTAATTACAATGCATTTACGACGAACTGTGAAATGAGTATAGGAATAATTGTCTTTAATTTTTTTCGAATATTTTTTTATCAGAATTATGTACTATGGATTTAATATTATGTCAAAATAATGGTCAATGTATAGATGAACCCGAAAATGCAAAAGGTTTTAAATGCATATGCTCAATTGAGTACCGTGGAGAATATTGTGAGAAACGTAAGAAAATTTATTTCGAATAATTCGTAAAAGACATAATGTGCTATTAAACAATTTAGATGTTGAAGTAGAACAAACAACAAAACGTGGAAGTAATATTTCGATTGAAGAGTTTTTACGGTTTTCTAATCGTTTCAAGTACGTTTAAGTAATGTTTTCGTAATACAAGTTTATTGAAATAGTTCGACAATCTTTTTTTTTTGTTTTTTATAAAATATCAGTTTTGAAATAAAAATGATATATGCTTTTGAATTTTTGTTTAGTAATAATACTAAACCTCTAAAAACAACTACTGGTACAAAATTTAAAATTGATCTTTCTCAAAAGTCAATACCTTGGTAAGTCTACTTTGATATATTTTCTATAAATTTGCTCTTTAAATGTTCTCATTAATTTCAAAGTAATGATCCAAAGGTTGGAAATAAAATTAGTGTTATTGAAAAAAAATCAAATGCAAATTCACAATTATCCCAAATATTTCATCATTTGAATGATAGTTATGATCCACAACAAGAAATCAATGACATTATCAAAATAATATTTATTTCTATTTTGACTTTTATCAGTCTTATTCTTTTCAGTTCAATTATTTTCGGTGCTTTGATTTGTATACGTTTGATTTCATTTTCACCAAGAGAACCTGTTGGCGTTTGGAAAACATTAATAGAAGAATCAAGTGTTTAGTTATAGAATATTATTTTGCATTCTAATTATAGCATAGAATTATCTAATATTCGTTTACTTCGATTGTAAAAAAGAAAACTATAATTGTTATTACATTCATTTTTAAAATACATAGTATTTATAAATACAAAAATAAAACCTTTAGTGATGCGATTTATCTCCGTGTTCCTTTCGAATGTTTATTTTTGAAGCTGTTTATAAGATTTATGATTATTGTTTGGATTTCATTTCATTTCTTCTGTTGCATGAGAAAAATTCACTAGTTATTGACAATTTTAAGGGCATCCTTTGTTTCATGACCCTAAATTCTTGGTTTTCTATTACCACTGAATTTTCTGAATTAGCATTTGTATACTGAGTAAAACTGTGTAAAGCTTGATGATTGCAAAGACTACGAGATCGCTCACCTATTGCGCCTCATCAGTTATCAATATTGTTATCGTACTAGAAGTAAATTGCTCTGTAGAAATGTATTGTTGGCCTGTATTTTTTGGAAAATGTCTAAAAAAAAGATTTTCAGTCAGAAATGACGAGAAGAGTTGAAGTAAATAATTTGAAAATGCTATATATTGTCTTAGCATACCATGAATACTTCAATTTGGTATAGAAGTTAATAGAAATGGTTATCAACATCATTCGCAAACTTGATCTTTTCGAAGAAACACTTAGAAGTCTCCTCTACTATCAGAAAACAATCAGTTCAATCGTCTGAAATACAGTAGAGATAAACAATTTTCTTTTTGGTATGTTTTTTTCTGGAGACTCTTTACATATATATATATATATATATATATATAAATGTATCCTATGTTTATTTTATTCCACTTGTTCCTATGAACTTGATAAACTTGAAACTAATGGAAAAAAATCCTAATGAGCACTTGTTGACGTGATCCATGGTTCAACAATTTGAATCTGTTCAACTTTCGAGCAATGGTCTCTTGCTTGGTAGTTGTTCTCAGCCATTATCGCTAATACTGGATCATGGCGATTTACCAGTTCAATTAAAACGAGGACCATGACTTCAACGCAGAAGTTGTTCAGCATAGTCCATATGTATATTATGTAGAATGTGTGTAGTTGACTAAAGAAATCCAATAAAAAATGTTGTGGTCGTTATTTTCTCTTGTTGTTCGAGTATATTAAACACATTCAATGTTCTCTGATTAGGAATAGCTCGAGTCACGTGCTCAAAAAAGAACGCTTTCGAAGGTTTTAATATCATCAAAGAGTAATAGTGTAGTAACACTCGAGAAAGTTCCTTTAACATCGAAGAGTAGAAAACGATTTGAGATGAAGTGAAGACAAGTGCCAATAAATTAAAGAGAATATATTTGACATTAAACATAATTATTATTGACATAGTCGCGTGTATAATCAGCGAGTTGTAGTTGTTTGACAAAACTTTGATGAATTACGTCGATGTCCATATGAAGAGAATCTTTTCATATTGAACAAATGTGAAAATTAAATAGGCATAAATGTCGCATATATGAAACAATGTCTTTTCGTAAATCAAACTCATAAATAAACTTATCTGGTCAAGGAGCAGTTGCTTCAATGGCTAACAATAATGTCAACGTTTGACAGCTGACAAATGTTGAGAAAGAGGAAGCCATCATTCGTAATGAAGGATATTCCGATAGATTGCCATTGATAACTGCTTCAAACTAGGGCAGTGAGATTTCAAATTGAAAGGAATTATTTACCAATGCCATTTATGACATAGTTAGATCTTGACGCACAGAAACGTGTGCAGTTGAGAACCCAGTTGATAAAGCAACAAAACACAACCATTAGTTTGTAATAATGAGATGCAAACATGAGTAAGATGAAGTAATTCCAAAAAAATATCCTTTCGTGACTTGGCGGCACTTTATGAATGCTACCAGAATCAAATGCGAAAGAGACGATAGAGCGTATGAATGGTGAAAAATGATAGAATGGTATGAGTAGATGGGTAAATGTATTATCAAGATAAAACATTTCTAGAACAGTTGAGAAGAGAGGTAACGAGCATCCTGAACTGTCATCATAATAACCTCTATTAAAAGAAGTTAATGAATAACATTGGAATCAAATCGTCAACGCAGTTATAATCAACGAAACTGTCTATTAAAGTTGCTCTGCGGCTAAATTGAAACACATCCATGTGGTCAACTCTTAAAACGATATTTATCGAATATTGAAGTAGGACTTCAACATAGATCTGTTTCAATTACACATCCATCACAAAGATTATTATTATAATTTCATTTCAATAGATAGCTACCTTGTCACGATTAAAATCTTTATAAAAAAATGTTACACCGAATTGAGGGAAATTTCTAGAGAATTTTTTATTGCATAAGAGGAAAACCATAAAACCATTAAGTATCGTGCCAATATACGGGTTAATTGATAAAAAGAAGTTTCCTTGTACTTTGTGCATTAAATACACACAACATATCGGAATTTCTGTTTATCAACGAACTCGTATATCGACATGATGCTCAATGACCTCATGATTCCTCTTTGAACTTGTACGAGGTTTTGCTATATTTTCAACAGATGAAATATGACTCTATTTTATACATTCCTCACTCAAAATGGAATCATTCAAACGCTCAATTGATTAATCTCTTTTGCTATATGTGTGTGGACACAATGAATATTAAATGTTCTAAAAATAGTCTATTAAAACTAGAGTTTATGTATCCTATTGTGATGGAAACAACCAATCAAAATTGTCAAATGTGTCAAATTGGTTAGATTCTCATCACAATATATTTTAAGAACTTTATTAATAGGTAATAAATATTTCAAATTCATTGAAAGAAATTGAATATTATTGTAAATACAAGACAAAACATATGAATAGAGTCGTTCGATAAGTAGTTCATGTGTTGAATGCAAATGATCAAACCTTGAATCTATTAAATGACATTCGTCTAATGAAAGTTGTTCTAAACGATTATTTCATCAATTAAATCGAGTAAATCAACCATATTCTCCGTGAAAAATAATAAATGAGTGATATTGTTAAACAAACTATTTACTTGTGTTTTATGGATAGTTCAATATTTATCTGACTTGCCCATCTGAATAGCGTATATATCTAGGAGCTTATCCCTTGATGGGCATGGTCTCAAAAGTCAAGAAACACCAATGAGTATTTGAACACTGGAAGCATCATCAAAGAATCTTTGTGTATGTGATAAAATAAAGGCGAGGATAGATGATTTCATTCGATTGAGAACGTAACTTAAAGTCTGGATATTTAATTTAACTGCTTTTGAAAACATTGTTATAATTATAAATACCGTTATAGAATGATTGCTGTCATATATCTATTTCTATACATTTATATCGTGTTTAATAGGACTGTCGCTATATATTGAATCCAGGAGCGGCGAAACGTTTTGAAATTGGATGAGGCTCAATGGAAGTTTATTTGCTATCCTAAAATAGTATTTCATATATCAGCATGGGGTAATTTGAGCGAATTTCAGATGATAAATCGTTTCAGACTATTTAATTGTTTTTCTGTTAGAAAATTATTGTGCTAACTTATTTTGTTCTTTACCGGCAAAGTTTCTAAATCTTTATAGAAGGACGAAAATTTCAAAAAATAAAAGAACTATTTATTTCATATTAGAATATTAAACCAAAAAAAACTTGTCTTTTTTCGTTTGACGATATACACATGGATGCCATTTAATAAATTAACAAGAGGAGTAGTTTGTGTCACAGAAGATGCTTCACGAGCTTTGTCTCGAGAACTTGTTGAACGATGAATTAAATCAGTTAAAGCAATTTCTTCTATAGATATAGATGTTGTTGCATCTTTTATTTTTTTTAGTAAAAATATTCCAAAATTGATCCAGCACATCGTGTTCATGGTATTACTGTTTGTAATCTAAATTATTGATTTTGTGACTATGATCAAAAGAAAGTATTGTTTATCTGTTTAATATTCATATAAACATGATATCACATTTTGGTTAGCAAAACTAATACAATAATCCTCTAACGCATTAGTTAAATAATAATGCCAAGGCATTCAACAAATATGAGAGCTAGACATTCAGATAAATATGCAAATGAACTCGTTTCATACTGTATTTTTAGTTGGTATATTTGCTGACATTTTAAACAATTACTGTGTATGCATTTCACTGAATACGTTAAAGAGAATGACAAGATACTCAAATATAGCTAGTTTTGATGCCTTTTGATAGTATAATTCTACAATCTGGCCTTCCACTGAGGGTTCATGAAAAAAGAGAAGTAAAGAGGTTTAATGTAAAAATAAAAAAGAGGAAAAGTAGGAAGATTTTATTTCAACCCTCAAAATCATAAAAAAAGTACTCAAGTGAAGGGAAAACTCGAACATTGCAAAAGTGATCCTTTATCAATCTCTGTTTGGCAGTGGCTTTAAATATAACGGGTGTTGCAAAAGTTCCTGAAAGAATGTCAGACTATTGTATTTGAACAGAAGATGATAGAAGCTAATTCTTTTTTTGTTAGATAGAACTCGGTTCCTACTTTCAAAGCACATGTTTCATAGACTTCTATTCATACACTAGTAGCAAAATTTATTCGGTTTTTATAAACCTCCTAAAAAGCAGGCCGCAACATTTTTAACAATAAACACATTGTATATGTAAGCAAAGACATGTGCTTGTGAGCTAAAATGACTTCTATGCTGTGTGATTGCACAAAGACGCCCTAGATAAAATTTCAGCTTAAGCAAATCTTTCTCTAACTAGACTCAGCACAAAGAATTTAGTAAGATTTTTCTGATATTCTTCTAGCTTGCAAAAAGCTCGATCTGGCGCGGTCGATCTTACTTTAATTGCTTGTGAAAATGGATATTTAAAGTGATAAGAGTTTAAAACAATTGGTGCACATAAATTTCTAAAACTGTAAAAATTAGTTTTTCCTGCCAACAGTAAATGATAACAATTAAGTTTTTCAATAGTTTGCGTGTGGCCAAAACTTATATCATTTTGTATAGA